TGTCTTCATTTTCACATCTTTTGAATATTTAGGCAATGGTTTCGAAATGATGTGAAAATGTATTCAAATGCAGATTTTAAAAAATATTGTTTTGTTATTGAAATAGTGTATTTGTAATTTATTATTATTATTAACATTTAATAATTTAAATAATATATTAATATTTAATTTTCGGCAGAAAATTCGTGATTTTTCAAATCGTTTGATTACAAATAATTAATATTAAAATTTTATGAATATTTTTAATACAATGAGTTTAATTGAAATAAATTGGTTATAAAAAGATTACACTTTAATTGTGGGAATAATTTAGTTTATAATTAAAGAGTAAGAGTTTTTTTTATGTTTTAGTTTTGCTCCAATTTTGGCTTTATTTTAGGATTAAATGATATATTATTAGAATTCTCTTTGAAAATAATTTCTGCTCAGAAATTAAATTATTGTAATTAAAATAAAATCTATTAAACAATTATGTTTTAATTCTTTTACGACATATTATAGACAATTGCATTGTCTTCTGACGGTTAAAATAAATTTAATATATCTTAAATATTGCATATAATTTAGCAATTTAATAAAAACATAATTTAGTTATTTCTGTTATTTTTGTAATTCAGGAATTTGTTATTAATCATATAAAATTCATAACTGATGTCTTATATGTAATAAAAATGCATATTTAATTAAGTGTAATAATATTTATAATTTAATTAGACTGAAATATAGTGACAATAGTTACCACACAATGAAATTAATAATCACTGATTCACTAAACTTATCGAATAATATCTATATTTTTATTATATTCTCGTTTATGAATCACTTGTAATTTTAAAGCAAACACTTAACCCGTCTATTGATTAGATAGTGTTGTCGTATACTTTGTTAACTAATTGTATTTTCAATATATTTTCTATTTATTAATGCAATCTCTTTTTTGTTTGTCTGGCATTTGATAAAATATTTTATTTGATAACACAATTGTAGGCAAACTGTTTGAACGACTGAAATAAGTTGAACAACCAATTTATAAACCATTTAAATCATTTGATAACTTAATTGAGTTCACATTTGCTAATATCGTAATACACACTACTATACAGAAGTCATGATTGAAATTCAGATAATGTATACCAAAATTAAACAATTATTATTATTGGGACTTATTATTGGTTTTTATTGAAATACGTTTTGTATAATTAATTCTTGAATTAATGCCAATCAAATAATCATTAATTTTACAATCAAATTATGAATTCACATCATTATTTAGTTTCCTTTATAATTGGTCTGATTTGATAGATAATCACTCAAATATTTATTTTATTTTCAATAGTTTTAATTCTTTAAAGTATTAAAATATTTTCTAAAATAAATTTGGATTTAATTATATTCACTTTTCACTTGATTTCAAATAAAAATATGAATTTTAGCACAAATCACAGTATTTCTCATTCTAATCAGATTTGACTTTTCAAATGAGATATAACCCAAAGACTGAAATTTGATTTTTATTAATTAGTTAATTAATTATAACTTTAACTGATTTTTTGTTTTAATTATTGAAAGATATAATAATAATAACGACCGAAGTTTGAGCGACAGATCAGTGGAATCGAGTGAAATGAGTTCCTCGTCGTTGTCGTCGTTTAATAAGATCTCTTCGTCTTCCAGTTCTGCCTCATCTTCGGTCAACTTTCCGGCCAATTGTCGTAAACCGAGTCCAACCACTTTGAGTCCCAAAAAAGTCAATATTTCAATGCAAAGGTTTATAAAGAGTAAGGGTTTGATTGCATCCAAAGACAGCTCTTTATACTCGCCGTTCGCTTCTCTCAATGGAAATGGTTTTACAAATAAGTCGTCCGACGATTACTATGAGCTAAAACCGCCACAATTTGTCAAAAAGGATTTAACGACTATTAAAAGACGCGTTTCAGCCATTTGTAAGATCCAGGAAGAGCTCAAACTTATGAAAGAACGCGAAGAAGAACTCAGGTATTCATTACTAAATCAATTATTAGTTTATCATTTAATGTTATTCTTGGTCAATTCTCGGTAATTTTGGATAGTTACAATGAAGTTAACTTAAGTTAACTTGTTAGCTTAATGAAGTTCGTATCAAAGTAAAAGCTATAAAGATTATATCTTTATAATTTACATGATTTAGATATTTTAAATGGTTTTCACAAATTGTAATATTTTGAAAATACATTTCTATTTATAAACAAAATTATATTTTATTATATTATGTTTGTATAAATGTATATAATTTGCGTTAAACTGCGATCTCGTCAGTGAACTAAACTATATTTTCTATTGAAAGCATATCAGGAGTTATTTTGGGAAAATTAGTTACTCTTATTAAGTACTGGTTTACTATTTCTGTCTTCCCATCACTAATGCTCTTATAAATAGAAATCAAATTAATTCGTAGATCTCATCAAATATTCGACTCGTTTTTGTTTTAATTACTAAAACATAGTTAAATATTCTCACAATTAGACCAATCATTCACTAAATTATCCCAAAAAATTATTTATTTGTTAGGAGTGCTATCATTAGTACTCTTTTCTCTCATATGATTAACACATGAGTTAAATGACATTATTTGACAATTATTTTAATTTGTCTTTAAATCATCATATCTTTAACTCGTTTTATTTTTAATATTGATTTATTATGAGTTATAAACTTAAACATTTAGATTAAATGCAGAATCAGATATTGTTTTTTATGATTTTTAATTTCTATTTACTATAAAATAAGTTTTGATGAGCAGTTAATTACTAATTTTTATGTTATTTATTTATTTATAGCATTATATGTAAATAAATAAAATTTTATTTTGTAATTTAATACAAGTGTTAAGATTTGAATTAATTAAAGTAATTTTAATGTCTCACTTATTCAGAGATAAAATTAATAGAAATGTAATAATATTGCCTTAAATATGATATTATCAAAAATGTCCCACAAATGTGTAAATTGAGTTCATTTAACATTGTATGTTTGGAACATCAATTATGGTTAAATCACCACAAACACTTAACCTATCTTGGTTCAAAATGTGTTGTGGTTATAAATGTTTCTAAATTTTTACTTAAATTCAATGCATTATTATTATAATATTTTTTTCATTCACTTCCAGTCATATAATTATTTAAAGAATATATTAATCAAAATAAAACCATAGATTTATAATTTGCATAATAATCATAATAATTAAATTGAAATAAATCCAAAAGTCACACAAAATAATTGATTATATCTTAACTAATTTCTAGTTAATGCAACAAAATATAATTAATAAAACAGATTCAATCGTTTAACGTTAATGTACTGAAATCTAAATAAGTAAATATAATCTCATATTATTTTTACTTTTCATGATATAATTTGTTAAAAGAAATGAAATTATAAATACTTCTCAAGTATTTGAATATATTTTTATTTTTGTTTTCATTATTAATGTATGCAAAAATGTAAAGTTTGTTTACATGAACTATTTACCATGCTTAATTTAACTATTTAATACAATAGAGTATTAAACTATTTATATCTGTTAATGAAGTGTATTTGTATGGACTTATTTTGATGACATAATTATATCGCAAATATGATAATTAAAACTTTAAATCTAATAATTTGTGAAAATTGTTTGTAAAGGTGGCAAAGGGTGCGAATTGTTGGCGTTTCTCAACCAAACTTAAACACATTAATTGATGAAACGGATGAGACAATCAAAGTGGAAGAATCGCAACCCAAGGATCAACAATTGCTTCAGAGGGCTAACAGTAATCCAAATCTAATTGAAAAGAGTAGCGAAGATTTGGCTGCAGAAGAGGTGATAATTAGTTTGAGTTTTAATTAATTGAATAATATTTAATGATTGGTGTGTTTGAAGGCTCTTCGAGTTGGAGGTCCCCGAAGAAGGATTCGTATGATTGAAATGTGGGAAAAGAAGATTCAAAAAGATGTCGACATTAAAAACTAACACTCGTTTGTGATTTGATTGTGTGTTTCGTGTATTAATTTCTTTGTTTAATAGAAAATTTTGTTTAATATTTAACTTTTGTACTTAAAAATGAGATAAATGTCAAAGAATATGACCTTAAAATTGCCAAACTATGAGCTGCTCTTCATTTCCATTTTACACATTTTTAATGCAAATATTATATAATTTGAAAAATATTACTTTTATTTCATAAAATTCATAATTAATATAAATATAATATATACTAAAGAAATTGATAAATAAATCAACTTTTACTTGATTTACAAACTATTCTTTTTTAAAAATTAATAATTATAAACCCATTTGTTTCATAGTATTTATTCATAAATGATTTATTAAAGAATGCAATTTCTAAAAGTGATTATGAATTTTTAAATTCATAAATATTAGTAGATTTGGAAATATGCCGGCTATCGGTAGTAATCGTGTAAATTAAATCATAAAATCTGTCTTATAATTTAATGTAACATTCCTAAGAAACAAAGTTTTAGTAAAATTGTACCATACTTTTTTAAATAATAAATTTTCAAATTATATTTGACAGAATCCATCACTTAATTTACAGTTAATTCTACACTATTAATACCGGCATATTATCAAATAAATTAATAGTTTAAATTATTAATACTGTAAGTCATAATTGATATCGTAGTGGAGATAACTAAATAAGTAAATTGAATTCAAATTTCTTTAATAACTTTAATATTAAAATAAGTGTAGGTTTCGGGCATTTGGAGGACTATTGAAAAGTGTGTGTCCGTAGTGTTTGACCCGTTTATCAAATCAAAAGGAAAGTGAATTTTGCTAACAGGAAGGAAATACCATTGTTACAAATACAATGAAAGTGATCATGTGCACATATTTGACATTTTTATTAAAATTATATATTTTAAAAAGTCATTGTGTATCTGTAGAATATTTAAAACGAATCACAATTGGTGCATGATCAATTCTCATTCTCATCACAGATATAAGATCTTAATTTATATGTAATTGAGTCTCAAATTATAGAAACTGATCTCAAATCTTACAAACAATTTTAAATTTAATTAAATGTTTTATATTTTCATATTATGTCATTTGTTAGTTCTCGTTAAATGCAATTATTTAATTATTAAAACATTGATTGCAGTCTTTCCAGTCCAGTATGTTATAAGTTATAACTTATAAATCATCAATTAAGTTATGATTTATAACTCAAAATACTTATTCAATCGAAATTGTAATTAAATAATACGATTTCAGTAAAACATAAACAATAGTTAATGAAAAATACAACATTTATTGAAATGTGATCCACAAAAATAGTAGTAAATTTAGATTTTGATATAAGTATACAAATATTATGCATAAATAACAGTGTGTTTGTTTGTATCATAAATTATATAATTAATGTAAAAGTAATTAACTTTTAAATGTTGCTTCAAATATGCCATTTATGAATGAACATTGAATTATGATTCAAAATAGTGTCGGTAAAGTGAATCATGTTTCACGTGATTCACGCTCACTCACGCTCACGGGCCGTGATCGTGAGTGAACGTGAATA